GAAGGAAACTCTTTTCTTTTCTCTTAAGCTATGACTTACAGCAATTTGGTGAATTATACCTTTTTAAGCAGAATTGAAACAATCACTTTTTTCTCCCTAACCCGATCCCTCCAGAATTCAGAAATTCTCAGTGAGTATTCTTATTGTCATGACAACATATTTATTTGCATAAGTTCAATAAAAATCTGTTCTCCTTGTAACAGGACACAACTGGAAACACTGGTTATATTACCAAGGCTTTGACTGGAATGCCATATTTGAGAGAGACATGCATAAACTCAGATATGACCAAACAGCTTAAGGAATTAAGGTTGACTCTATGAAGCCAATAAAACCCCTGGGAAGAAACAGCCTCGTACCCCACTTACAGAGTTCCCCACAGTCTAACCAAGTGAGTAAAGAAGGTCACTTGCTGGCAGGTGCAAGTTATGTTGGGACCCTCAAGAGGAGAGGAATTCACTCAATGTATAGGTATTGCAGGCAGAATATCTGCTTGGAGTTTTATCCTCAAGAGGCCATTAAAAGTTCAATTTGGAGATTCCTTACAAAAAGTTCCAGCAAAGCAAATTTAAAAGAGCCTATATGTCAATCACTATTCTTGCTGTACTTATGTAAATAAGTGAGCCAAGTTTATTGAAACTAGACTTACTCTCCAAATTAGTCTTAATTTGACTACATAATTTGATAAAAATAAGGGTGATTTTAGACAGAAAAATTGTTTCAGTAGAAACTGTAATACACATTTGTCAATATTAGATTCTAGTGCTGTTAATTTTTCTTCAAGTTTTGTTGTTAACCTAAAAATTGGACTGGATCCTAAATTCTAGTATCCTCCAATATTTGGCTACAACTGTACAAACTAATGTTTCCAATTTTTCTCCCACTTTTGACTTGGAATCATAAAAACTAAAGCTGCCCTTTTCCCTGAAGCCTTGCAAACTGAAGCTGAACAACTTGATATAAACTTGAGATCTCCACAATAGCTCATGTTTAGATAACCTTCATGCATGTTACTGTAAGAACCACTCAGAAAGTGTACCTGAACATCCAATGACATCATCAGAGACATTTCAAACTGCAAAAGACGCTTTGACCTGAACATCTACAATCTTCTTGACTGGCTGCCCCTAGGCTCAGAAACTGGTTTATAATTTGCTCCAACCATTAACCTTTGTTTTTCTTTGTTTCCATAGAAATACCTCTTATTAAATACCTGATTGCTTAGACCAGAGACCTAACTTTGGGAATCCATCTGCATCACCACCTTCTGAAATGAGACAAAACTGTTTAACTGAAGTGACCTATTCAATGAAATAATGGAACAATTTACCAGCTCAATTTTGGATATATTAAACTTTCAGGGAAATTTCAGAGAAGGGAACTGTTGGGGCCCATGGCAAGCCACCCCAAAATATGTCACAATGGCCTATTGATTATTTTAAGTTAAAGTTACTTGAGAAGCAAAAAGGGCATCCTGACTTTTCTCTCTCTGTTCTCCCTGAAAGCAGGATATAAATCTCCCATGTGAAGGGTGCCCTCCCTGTGATAAGGCTGAGAGAGACATCCTTATCAGCAGAGCTAGGGAATCCAGGGCCAAGAAGCCGACATAAGCAAACCTTGTTAATTTTACTAATTTACTACCTCAAGCCTAAACTTTGTTCAAATTCCTTTCTTCTTACATACTCCAAATCTAAGTTTCTTCATCCTGTCATTCCTCACAAACTTATTGTTTCTTTGTATAAAAAGATAGAAAAGCAGCCTGCTTTGCTCATCTCAGAGAGCATCATTACACTATGATCTCCAATACGCACATATTAAATTGGGGTTTCTCCTGTTAATCTGGTCTTGTGTCAGTTTTATTATTAGTCTAGCCATAAGAACACAAGAAGGGTAGAAAGTAGAATTTTCCCCTCTCCGAAGCCAAAGTTAAGTGCTGAGTAAAGTGGTATTTTAAGCACAGATAATGTAGTTTGTAGTTAAATGCCTGTGTCTACTCATTAATGGACAAGTTATTTCCAGAGGGTGCAGAGTTCCCACTATAGCATAGTTTTAAAATGAGATTAGATTTATGGGACAGTATGGAGAAAAGTGTATCATTTTTTTTCAAATTTTTTTTTCTTGAGAGAGAGGGAGATTTCTCAGTCTAAATCCATCTTAAAAACATCATTTTGATTAGTAGTACAATAAAGTTTAAAACAGTCTCACAAAAGCTGTCCCTTAAAATGCAAATTAAGCATAGAAAGGAGTAATGACACACAGAACCCAACTTTTAAAAAATTACTATGTCCTGAAATAAAGCCAGGAGCAAAACCACTCAGAACTAGGTAAAACCTCAGATTAAAAACCAAAACAAAACAACACTAGATAAAAACTTCAAAATTAAGTAATAAAGAAAACCTCAGGACTCAGAAAGTTCTCCTCATATGATCATAAACTGCATATACACTATAAATAATTCATAACAGCCAAAGTAATAGTAGAGGCCCAATTCCCCAATCCAGCTAGGTCATCTTTCCACGAAGAACAAGATTCACAGCAACATGCCAACTTGCAGGAAAGGGCAATGGACATTTCGCAAATCATATGTCTGACAAGCGACTTTTATATACAGAAGCTTACAACTCAATAACAAACAATACAACTTAAAAATGGGGAAAAGATCCAAATAAACATTTCTCCAAAGAAGATATACAAATCGTCAATAAGAAGCACATGAAAAAGTGCTCAACACCATTAGCCAATGGGAAATGGAAATCAAAATAACAAGAAATACCACTTCATACCCACTAGGATGGCTACCATCTAAAAGACTGATAATAAGTGTTGGCAAGGATATTGAAAAATGGGAACTCTCATACACCACTGGTAGGAATTTAAAATAGTGCAGCCACTTTGCAAAACAGTTTGACAGTTCCTGAAAAGGTTGAGCATGGAGTTATGATATAATCAAGACATTCTACTCCTAGGTATATATATCCAAGAGAAATGAAAACATGTCTACACAAAAACTTGTACACAAATGTTCATAGCAGCATTATGCATAACCGACAAAAGGTGGAAACCACTCAAATGTCCATCAACAGATGAATGGATGAATAAAATGTGTTATGTCCATACAATGAAATATTATTTGGCAATAAAAAGAAATAAAATACTGATAAAAGCTATAATATGAATGAACCTTGCAAATATTATAAGTGAAAGAAGCCGGTTACAAATGCCCACATACATACTGTGTGATTCTATTTACATGAAATGTTCAGAATAGGCAAATCTGCAGATTAGTGTTTGGGGAGGGGCAGGTTTAAGGGGAAATGGGGAGTAACTTAACGGGTATAGAGTTTCTTTTTGGGGTGATGAACATATTTTAAAATTGGGTTGATCGTCGCATAACTCTGAATATATTAAACCTATCTAATTACACACTTTAGATGAATTGTAAGGAATGTGAATTATATCAACAAAGCTATTATTTTTAAAAAATAAACGAGGGCTATGGAAAAATAGGCACGCAAATGCTGCCAAATAATGTGAATTTCAAAATCAGTCAAAATACGCCTAGAGAAAATCAGTTAAGCATCTTATCGGAGCTTTCAGTGATCTCCTTAGCACCTAATCTCTTATTGCTTAACAATGAACTTACACTACACGCTGGGCAAGAGAAAATATTAAATATTGCACATATTTTTGTCAACTACAGCAAAATACACGCATCCTCTAGCAAGATTCCGGACGAAGCCAAGCACAATCTCGAACCTATGATTTTTCACTATATCCCCATTTGATTATGCCAGCTGATTAGGCACTGCCAAAGCAAAAGCTGAAGTTGATCTTACACAAACAATGGGTTTTACTTTCTTTCCCAGTTTTTGCTTAACTTCATTAATGCGGAAAACAAAATGATAAAAAAAAAAAAGGGGGGGGAATAAAAATTGGTTCACGTTCCACAATAAAATATTACAAAGCAAGTAAAGGATTCATTCACTTTTGGGCCAAAATCGAGAAAAAAGAGGAATGATAAAACTGACAATTTCTAACATTCGATGTTAGGCCTCAGTAACCTACAATGTAAAAAAAAAAAAGGGAGGGAAACAAGAAATCTGTGTACGATCTGGGTGGGAGGAAATTCTGGGTGCGATGTGCAGGCGGGCCCTCGGCCAGCGCCGCCGCCGGCGCCCCAGCTGGGGCCTGGTGCGGCCCGCGGCCCGGCGTGTCCGCCCGCGGAGCTTCGCCTCGGCGGCGCCTGGGGACTCGCTCCGCGCGGAGGTCAAGCCGAGAAGCGCCGCTAGGCTCCCGAGGGCTCCACCCTCCCTTCCTTCCCTCCCTCCCCTGCGCGGTCCCCTGAGGGGAACAGGCGGGGCGCAGCGCGCAGAGATAAGTGGGGGGGGTTGCGTCCTCAGCGAGAAAAGCTCCGCCACCCCAGAGTGGCGGCCGCGGGTTATTAATAAACTCCGCTTCTGCCCAGGCGCCGCTACCGCGACCGGCCGTAGGATCGGCAGGGCCTGCGGCGGAGGCTGAACAGCCGGAGTCAGAGCCCAGGCCCAAGCGGGCCCGCGCCGCCGCGCTGAGGGCGGCGGCCGGGCGGAGAATAATGCACACTGGGTAAAAACACATTTATATACGAACCTCCGAGAAAATTTTCCAACAATTCCTTCGTCCGACCACCATGCACCAGGACAGGAAACAGCCGCCCGGCCCCCAGGCCCCGCAACCCGCATACCGAGTCTGAAGCCCGCCCCCAGCTTCCATTGGGCTGTCATGACGTCACTCACCGGCCACTTCCTGCTTGCCATTGGTTCAAATTTAGGCCACGCGAGAGGAGACCGCCTTATCCACGCCCCCTCTTCGAAACGTCAGCCTCGCCTGGCCTTACGGCCGGTGCCTGAGTGGCTTGCGCTAAGTGCGGAATCAAAGTTGCTGTGTCTGACTGGTCGGCAGAACCGCTCATCCCAGACCGACACCGCCTGGCTGACAAGTGAATTATGCTGATTCTGGGGCCCCAGCGGGAGGCGCCATTTTGTAGCCAGGGAGGGAGGCTGGTCCTTGTGACTAGCCGGGAGGGAGAAGGGGTGACGGGCGCCATTTTCCCCACAGGGGCTAGGAGGTGGCATTGGCTCTCCGGTGGGCTTGCTGAAGCGCGTTCTGGAGACCGGTTGGGCTTTGTCTAGTGACCGCCGAGTGTCGCCCGTTGGGAGGGAAGTGGTAGGGAGGCCTAAGGACAGGATGGGACGCCTGACCGTCCTCTGGGAGCTCTCGGCGCCAGCTGAGGCCTTTGGTCGTGGGCGAGGGCTTTCCCGAGACCTGCTGCATGCGGGTCCTTGGCTGCCAAGCCTGCCTGCGCTTCTTCCAGTCCCCGGGGCACCCCCCTTTGGTGGGAGGTTAGCCTCCTGCTCCTGCTGAAGTTTCGGCGGAGCCTGTCAACGGGGCGGTGGTCTTGAACTCTGCTGGGAAACACTGCGGATGCTTTTGCGCTTTCGTGCTATTTAGGTTCAAAATTTGAAGTCGTCTGTAATGGTGTCTCTGCCTTCTCTTCTACTTTCCGTTTTGCGTGTCCTGAATTAAAGGAAAGTTAAAAAGGTGGGAAAAGCATTGACTCGGGCTCCCCAAACCTGTTAACAATGGATACAAATTAGTTGTGAAGTTTAGGTAATGTTTTCTTGTAGCTCTCAACCCAAATTTTGAACTATTGGGAATACTAGTCATTTCAGGAGTATTCAGTAAGTATTCATTTTCTTTGGCAAGCAGGCGAAGTAAAGATGAGATAAAGTGTATAGACTGTAGATTTGCTAAATCGGGCATTTCAGGTGTAGAATTGAGTTATTAAGAGAATGAGGAGGCTGGGCCCCTTTCAGGAGGTTTGTGTCATATTTAGAAAAAGTGGAAAGAGCAGGATGATGTTTGATTTAGTGTCTTTGCATTTCAGGTGACTATAGAATGGCCAAGGTGTTAAATCAAAAGGATGTCATAGCCAGCCTTCTAAGAGAGGATAATTAAAATGTTTTGGTTTACAGTTGAGTCCAGTTTGAGATTGTAACGTTATCTCCTTTTTGGTGAGGAGTAGGGAGCAGACTGAGCCCAACCAAGGCATAGTTGCATAATTGGTGCCCAAACGCCATTCGGACGAAAAAAGGACTCTGAGTTTTGTTTGAATACATTTTCTTTAGAAGTTTAAAGTAGTTATTGTTTACACCCTTATAAAAAATGAAAGATGTGACACATAGAATTGGATTAGGTTACTTGAAACTGGAGGAACCGGCTCACTTAAAAATCTCCTACCCAATGGATAGATTCCCTTTGTCACAGACAAGTACAGTTCAGGTGAAAAACAAGGTGTTTTAATTTATACTTTCTGTACCTTCCAGATATTGTATTTGTATTTTGTGATCAGAAATGTTATGAAAAGAATCAACACACTTTTATGCAGTTTAGCCAATTCATTACTAAGTCTTATGCCTTTAGTCTGCTCATTAAGACACTAGTACAGAATTTCAAAAGGAACTTAAAAATCACCCTATAATTGTAGGTTGCAGTTACAGGACATCTTTGTATCCCCAGAACCTACCGAGGGATTTTAACAATTGAATGGTGGTGGTGGATAAGATGCTATGATTCTAATCTGATTCAGAGAGAAACCTTAATTCTGCTTTTGTCACAGGTAATGGAATTTTGTGTTAATATTTACCAGTGACTGTAGAACAGTTCAAATGTATGTAGTATTCAGATCCACCCATAATCTTCAGATTTTCCCCAAATCACCTCTTGTACCTTCTATCTTACTACATTTTATCAGATTAATGGCTTGAAAATATTTCACTTCCAATCAATGTTAGTCTAGGCTGTTACAAAAAGCTGGACTGTTTTTCCAGTTTTCTGAATAAGTTAATTTATTTCTAGCTCCTTTCAAAAACTGTTACCATCATGTTTCTTAAAATATTTCAGGGGCCGGCCCTGTGGCGAGTGGTTAAGTTTGTGCGCTCTGCTTGGGCGGGCCAGGCTTTCGCTGGTTCGGATCCTGGGTGCAGACATGGCACCACTCATCAGGCCATGTTGAGGCAGCATCCCACTTAGCACAACCAGAGGCACTCACAACTATGATATACAACCATGTACTGGGGGCTTTGGGGAGAAGAAAAAAAATTGGCAACAGATGTTAGCTCAGGTGCCAATCTTTAAAAAAAAAAGAATATTCAGATCCCACAATTAGAAGGACATGCAACTAAGATATACAACTGTGTACAGGGGGGGTTTGGGGAGATAAAGCAGGAAAAAAAAAAAAAAAGATTGGCAACAGTTGTTAGCCCAGGTGCCAATTCTTAAAAAAAATAAAAATAAATTCAGTAACTCAAAACTTTCTGGAAAATTGGTTCATTTTGGCATTATTTGTACAATGACATAACCGTTAGTGTATGTATAAAGAAAGATACTGAGAAATTATGTATTAAACTCTTAAAAGTATCTCTGGGAGGAGGTGTTATAGGTGATTCTGATGTATTAAATTATTTGTGAAAAATCTGAATTTTTTTATCATGCATTTGTAGATTTTTTTAGACACTAAAGAATTTAAAACCAAACTAGTAGATGCTCTCCATTGAGAGCTGTGACTGTAGAGGCATCACTTATCTCAGAACCTGTTGCCTTATCTGGAAGGCGAAAACCACATATTTATTTGACAGTGTGATTGGGAGGATATATGAGAATGTAGGTAAATGAATGTGGCACAGGGCCTATCAGATGCTTTTTAAGTGCTTGATAAATGTTAACCCATGTCTCTCCAATTCTCACTTTAATGATCTACAGCAGTGGTTACTAAGCACTTTGATAACTCTTGGAGATTCAGAAGAAAGCTATGAAAAATATACTAAAAAATTTGCAGTTTCATAGGGCTCATGGACCCAGAGGTTAAGAGTTATTGGCCTGTAGACTAAACTCAGTTAATCTCTCACTCAGCTTCCACACTGAAAGGATTAATCGGCTTACATTCTTTTGGAAATGTGTTATTAGGTTACTTAAAACATTCCTCTCCAATTTCAGGCAAACTAGTTCTCAGCATACATGTTGACATAAGCAGGGGTATAATACAACTGGTAATATTTTGTTACTGGCTGATTGCATGATTGCCCTATTTCAAGGTTGTCTATAGCAATTCCAGTAGGAATGCAATTTTTGTTTTTACCAACTCTACCCGCTGGCCTCCTGTTAACCCCATTCATTCCATCTTTGAAAATATCACCCAATAGTGAGCCCCAAGGTTTATCAAGTGTGGTTAATGTGTTGTTTATTTTAGTGGCAAAAAAGAGGAAAACTACACTCAATTTCCAATGTTATAAATCTTCTAAAGCCCCTGAAGATTCCAGTTGACCCTTTGAAACTGGCTATCTCCACAAGATTCTAGCCCTCATTTTGGCTTCTAATCTAAATCTAAAGTAGAGCATTCCAGACAAAAGAAAAACTAAGTTTCATTAATACACATAGTACGTCTGCAGTGTTTCAGCTGTACAGTTAAATAGTGGGTAGTCTAGGAACGAAACAACTGTTTTTAAAGTGACTTTATTTTTTTGGACAAACATACTCTTTGAGACAAAGTGAGAACTTTTTTTTTTTTTTGAGGAAGATTAGTCCTGAGTTGACATCTGCCAATCCTTTTTGCTGAGGAAGATCGGCCCTGAGCTAACATCTGTGCCCATCTTCCTCCACTTTATACGTGGGATGCCTGCCACAGCATGGCTTGATAAGCGGTGCCATGTCTGTTTTTCCCCTAATATGGAGTCAGCTGCATAATCATGAGTAAAATTGTTGTTAGGTTGTAGTAAATGCATAAATATTTCATATTACCCTTTAGAGAACTTGAACCAAATTTGAGACTTAGTTTAAGAAAACTGAAAATTGATATCCATATACCATAAAATTCACCATTTTAAGTGTACACTTCATCAGCAGTTTTTAGTATATTCACAAGGGTGTGCAGCTATCATCACTATGTAATCCAAAATATTTTTATCATCCCCTCAAAAAACCCTGTACCCAATAGCAGTCACTCTACATTCCCTTCCCCCAGCCCCCCGGTGACCACTAATCTACTTTGTCTTTATGATCTGCCAATTCTAAACATTTCATATAAATGGAATCTTTTGCATTTGACTTCTTTCACTTTGTTTTCAGGGCTCATCCATGTTGTAGCATACAATGCTACTTATTTGTTTTATTGCCAAGTATGTGATTGTATGATTAATACATTTTATTTATCTATTCATCAGTTGATGGCTGGTTGGGTTGTTTCCTCCTTTGGGTATAATAATGGTACTATGATCAGTTACATACAAGTTCTTGTATGGATATGTTTCATTTCTCTTGGATACATACATCTAGGAGTGGGATTGCTGGGTGACACAATTTACCACCTTTTTAGGAACTGCCAAACTTCCAAACAGAGAAGCATTTTATATCCTATCAGCAAGTATGAGGGTTCCAGTTTCTCTGCATCCTCACCAATACTTATAATTGTCCACCTTTTTGATTATATAGACATGCCAGTAGGTGTGAAATCATTATCTCATTTTGATTCTGATTTGCATTTTCCTAATGACTAGTGATGTTGAGCATCTTTTCCTATGGTACTGGCCATTTATTTCTTTGGAGAAACATCTACTCAGATTTGTTCCCATTTTTATCTTTTTTTTTTTGGTGAGGAAGATTGTCCCTGAGCCAACATCTGTGCCAATCTTCCAGTTTTGTATGTGGGTTGCTACCACAGCATAGCCTGATGAGCAGCGTGTAGGTCTGCACCTGGGATCAGAACTTGTGAACCCCAGGCCACCCAAGCAGAGTGCGCCAACCTAACCAATACACCATGGGGCTGGCCCCTCTTTCCCATTTTTAAAGTGCGTTTTTTTGGGTTGAGCTCTAAGAGTTCTCTATATATTTACGATGTGCAAATATTTTCTCCCATTCTCTGGTTTGTCTTTCCACTTTCTGCAAGGTGTCCTACGAAGCACAAAGTTTTAAATTTTGAAGTCCAACTTATTTATTTTCTTTTGTTGCGTGTGCTGTGGTGTTACGTTCAAGAAACCTAATTCATAGTAACAAAGATTTATGCCTATATTTTTTGCTAAGAGTTTTATAGTTTGAGATCTTACACTTAAATCTTTGAACCACATTTTTGTATACGGTGTGAGGTAAGGATCCAACTTCATGCTTTTGCATGTAGGTACCCAGCTATCTCAGAACCATTTGTTGAAGATGATTCTTTCCTACACTGAATGGCTTGGCACCCTTGTCGAAAACCAACTGTTCATAAATTTAAAGGTTTACTTCTGGACTGTAAATTTTATTCCACTGGTCAGTATTAAGGTGTCTATCCTTATACTAGCACTATTATCATGATGACTAAATCACATTCAATTTCAAGATTGTTTTGGCTATTCTGAGTCCCTTGTATTTCCATACAAATTTTAGGATCAGTTTGTCAATTCCTGCAAAAAAGGTAGCTGGGATTTTATAGGAATTACACTGAATCGATAGATCAATTTTGCAAGTACTGCCATTTTCATGATACTGTCTTGCAATTCATGAACATGGGATGCCCTTCCATTTACTTAAGTCTTCTTTCAACAGTATTTTGTAGTTTTCAGGGCTTTTCCATTTTGTTAAATTTATTCTTAAGCATTCTTTATACTATTCTAAATGGAAATTTCTTAATTTCACTTTCATTGCTGCTGTGTAGAAAGAGAATTGATTTTTCTATATTGATCTTATGTCCTCCAACCTTAAAGAAGACATTAGCTCTTTGTGTGTATATTCCTTATGGTTTTCTGTAAGATCATGCCATCTGCAAATATAGTTTTACTTCTTCCTTTCTAATCTAGATATCCTTTTTTTCCTCTTCTTGCTTAATTGCCCTTCCTAGAACCTCACGTATAATGTTGAATAGAAGTAGCAACAAGGGCATGCCTGTCTGGTTCTTGATCTTAGGGGGAAAAGCTTTTAGTTTTTCATCATTAAGTCCACTAGCTTTAGGTTTTTCATACATGCCCTTTATTAAGTTTGAGGAAGTTCCTTGTATTTCTAGTTTGAGTTAATTAAAAGGATTTTAAAAGAAACTACTTTAAAAGACTCTGATAGGAAACACTTAAATATAGGATTCAAATATTGAGTGTAATTGACAAATTTCAATCTATACATGAAAGCAGGATCTATAAATATATAAAGCAATTATCACCTGTGCCTTAAAAAACCTGCAGGGGGGATTACTCAGAAAAAGTTACTTGAAAGATCTTTACTCCTCCCATAGTGATAAAATCCTGGATTTCTAGCTGGGCACCTGGTTTCCCTTTGTAAGAACCACAAGCACCAAGGTGTTATTGCAATGGTGGCCAACCACACCGAGGATAAAACCTAGAATTCATAAGGGATGTTAACAGTCACAATCTTCACCAAAACTTAAATTATATAGAACAGAACTGACATTTTTATAACTGATATGTTTTAATGTAATTTTAGGTCATTCATTTTATAAACACTTAGGGAATGCCTACTATGCTTAAGGCATTGTGCTAGATTTTCCCAAAGACATGGTTTAGTCATATTAATACAGTCCTTAATGCCTTTTTCTTCATGTTTGCTTCAGGGGCTACATGTAGGGCTGAATAGCAGCATACT